AAAGAAATTATAATTTTTTTTTTTTGATGATCCAATATTTTTTGGGGTCAGTGTTTGACTCATTTTATTGTATGAACGAGCGAGGACGGCTCTAATTCTACCCTTATGGTTAAATATAGTGTAACAAGTTGGGCCTACAATATCTATTTCCCATAGAATGAGAATTGGCTTTACCATAAAGATCCCCATAGTAATTCAACTTTTCACAATGGCGTAGGATGTAAAGTGTATTATTAGACATATTCAAAAAAGGAGAAGTAGTTAAACAAACGGGTTTTCGTTTTATCCTTTAACATAACACAACAAACTTTTCTACCCTCACAACATTTTGTGGGGCCCACACTTTTTAAAACAAAAAAATAAATAAAAAATTAAGGCACGCAAAACGAATCTCTATAACATTACACAATCACTTTTCCTATAACATAACTCTTATAAAACCCTAAACAATATTGCACAAACGTACGTAAAAGGAAAGTCCTTGATTCATATAATCAAGGGAAAAAGTAAAAAAGAAAAGAAAAGAAGAAATAGAACAGTTAGTTAATCGTGCATGATGAATGTGTGTGAGGTCTGTGTCAAAAAAAATTTATGTGCCAATCTTGTTCGAAAAAGGTTATGTTCACTTGGGCTAGGCCTGCAAAGTAAAATATAAAAAAGAAAAGATTCAAATTGTAAAAGAGGGAAAATAAATAAAGATTTTGAAAACCGTTTTGGGTAATTCAATGCAGCAAAAGGTGTTATGCTTTCTGCGACAAATGTGTCTATTTAGCTTGGGTCAAACCTCGCTTTTGGCCTTTTTTTTAACTGCGTATAAGCTTTGGCCACGTGAAATATAAATTAAAGTAGTTTTATTGATTATAAAAAAAAAATAGTCTCGTTGGAAAAATTCACCAATGTCCATGTGATTTGTTTCAGAATCACTTATGTTCTTGTAATTTTTTTTATCACATATGCCTCTGTAATTTGCAAAATGATAAGTTTTTTATCATATATGTCCCTGTGGTTTTTTATTTTTTACAAAGCAAATGAGTAAATGTGATAAAAAAAAACCAGAGGGATATAGGTGATTCTGAAACAAACCACAGGGTACTGGTGAACATTTTCCCTAAATTTAATTAGTCATAACCGCTTATATCTGCACATAGAAATTAATAATAAAGACATTTCATAAAAAATTTGCGTTAAATTTTAACAAATCACATAAGATATACCCTGAAATCTTAAATCTAGGTGATGGATTAGTAGAATATTATATCCAACCTAAAAACTTAAATTATTAGATAAAAATACATTAATTATTTATATGTTTTATATTATTTATATGTTCCTTTATACAAGAGTCTATTAGAATTGAGTAGTGGACAATGCACAAATTTATTTATTTGTATTAAAAAATCCTATAATGTTTAATTATTTATCAATAGAATAGATATAAAAAAGCTGAACTATAATCCATTTAATTGTAAAAACCATAATATCTTATAAAGAAATTAATTCAATTCAAAAACTAGAGAAAAATATATATTATTATTTTTTATAAGAAAAAATTAGATGAAATTAGACATAGATATTTCATCACTACCAAGATAGACCCTAATTTTTTTTGAGAATTTTTAGAAGGAATTAGAGATAACACTACAAAAGAAGTCCTCACTTCAATTCGAATTCATATCCTCTGAAGCACTGACACTTCAAAAACTCTAATGTGTCGTGTCTGACACTTATTGACACTCCAACAAGCGTTGTAGAGACTAAAAAAAAAGATTGAAAAGATGTGTTGTGTTGCATTTTTAGTTTCAACTATTAGATTCGTTGGATTACGATTACCATTTTATTGAGTTTAATATAAATATTTGGGATATCTTATGTTTCTTTGCAAAATTGATGGCTATTATAAGTTGAGCTTCATTTTTTTTTGTTAAATTATTGAATATTAAATATAATATACACTACATAAATTAAAAATATTATTTAATATCAAAACATGTCCTAACGTATCGAAATCTAATATTTTTTAGAATTAATGTGTCAGAGTGTCGTATGATCGTATCTCATATCAATATCGGTGCTACGTAGTTCATACTTATATGAGATATGAGTATAATTCTTAACTAACTGTGTCGATCTAGCATAATTTTTATATTTTATATTATATTTCTTCAAACATAAATAGTATATAAGAGGAAATGAATTGGGCCTGAAGTCAACTGGTGGTTGCTTTTTGGATGAAGTTTAAAGATATGTGAATGTGACGCATCTAGCTTCTAATCTTTTTTTCTTTTTTGTATAAACAGTTTCTCATCTTTAAACCAACACGCGTATGACTCTAGAAGACGCTGCTTTCCGAGACTAATAGCTCTCGATAGCTTGAGGATATGAAGTGGCACCTAATGGATTCATTGACCACCCAAAACTGAATACTACTTTTATCTACTTTTAGAATATCCAAAATGTAATCACAAAAACTTTTATAAAAAAATAAAATAACTTTGAATTGATTGTTGTGTAATAATCTTATTATATCTTTCTTTTCATATTAATAATTATTGTTCCATCTTCCATGAAACTCCCTTCATCCAATGAGCCTTTCTTTTTATTCTATGAATGGGGTGGTTGGATGTAAGGTTACCACACTCCTTGACCCAATTCCATGATAAACTGGAAGCTATTATTACACACCAAAACTGAGGTCAAAAGTTGACCTATTGAGGATAAGCCCGTGCAAGCGCCTAAAAAAGGAGCATGGCACACACACTTGTACGTGTAATCTGAGAATGGAGTCACTTATACTATAAAATGATTACGTGAAAGAAAAGATTGGCCAATGAGTCTCATGGAGAATGCACTTTCAGTGTGTTTTTGGAGTAGAAAGCAACTAAAAGGTCATCCAAGAGCATGCTAGCAATGATTCTTCAAGGCACATTCAAGCATTTAATAAGGAAAATACATTTTTAAAAATATGTGTGAATGATCCACTTTAGGATACAACTAAAACTTGGCCCTTTAAATTCTTGAGAAAAATGTTACCTATATTATAAACCTTTGAACACTTAAAAAAGAAGTCATATACTCGCATGGTCTAATTCTCACGATTCGTTTTTCTTGAGATGCACTCAATAAGTCGCCCCTATATAATATAGGCTATATATATTGTGGGCATGTCATGATTTTGAATTCATATATATACAAATTAAGCACAAAAAGTCAGGTCCAACTACCAATAGTATGCCAACATATGTTGTTGTGATTAATGTTGCTATTTAAGGTCTGGATTTGCTGTCAGCAGACATGTTGAAATCTAAGCTGAAAGTGAGATCCATGCAATGCGCAATTTTTCTTCTATTTTTGGTACAAGATTCAATGCATATGCACAATTTTACTGTTATATTATAGAGGATGACCAAGTGGGAAAGGGAAACCATATGCTTTTTCCAAGATTATTCTCATTCAAGCCAATATAATGTTCAACGCGATTGCTTTCTTGGACAAAGTGGCAGGGGATTTTTTTTTAAAGTTGAAGCAAAAAGGTTTCAATTGACCGTCATTCTTATATACATGTTTTTAACCGTTCATTTGAATCATTTCTATTTGCCTTTTTTTTCCTGAAAATACTAATGGAACTGGAGAAAATTATTGGAATCCTTTTCTTTTTCCTTCATTTTAATGGGACAGGAGAAAGTGGGGGAAAAGAGAGAGAGAGAGAGTTGATCAATGGAAGAAAAAAAATATACTACAAAATGAAGACAGCTATCAGCTCTCCGGGCCAAGGCCCAACTCAATGATGGACCCCAACCAAATATTTTCTGGGGAGAACAGGAGAGTTAGTAGTGAGGAGCATTTGTCTCTTAATACTTAGGCTTGATTTTGTCACTGTTAGGCTTCACTTTGGTATTGAATATATATATATATATATATATATATATATATATATATATATATATATATATATATCTTCTACTTTCAATTGGAATAATTAACCCCTTTGTACTATTGTATTTGAACAATTAAACATATTTAATAATTTTCAGACGAAAATACCTTTATCCCCAACCCACCACCACTGTATATATGGAGAATACTAGCAACAAGGAAAATAGAGAATCCACTCGTTTGTCAACAATAACTGATCGGCACCATTTTTGGAAGAAAAACGTCCAATTCCAAAAAAATGCTACAGGGTGCTACAACATTGGATTTGGTAAGAAATTAATGTGGGCCATCCTGAAACAAATTTCATCGATTCCCTTCTCTGAATCTATGATGCCTGGACACTCTTTGGATCCCACCCATAAACATGTTTTTATTCAGTTGCAACTTTTGCAATTATAGAAATTCTTAAACAAAATTGGAATGCCGTGAGCATGTCAGTTTTTATTCACTCTGATCGAAGATTAAATTCGAAGCATCTTTGGGAAGTTTTTATCCATAATTCTAAAGCTGATATAATCAGTTCCTATCACCAGCTGCCCTTTCGCAATGGCGACAAGTTTCTATTAACCAAATTGACCCAAACACTACGTTTCCCATGTTAGAAGAATAATTGGCAAATGCATTAGGTTGGCTCCAGACTAACAATTGTTTGGGGGCTTAACACTTTAAAGACAAGATACACTAGTAACACAACGAGTATATATAGGGTTGGGGACGAGGATATTTTTGTCTGAAAATTACTAAATATGTTTAATTGTTGAAATGTTTTATATAATGTGCCCTATAAATAATGGATCCTCTTATTAATCATTTGTAACTAAGAGAACGTGAAGTCTTTGCAATAAAGAACAAGGCCATTTACTCGCATATCCAAAAATTTGCCAAGAAACGCATAATTCATAAACAATGCTTGATTATATTTTTTTCTCTTTTACTCCCACCATAACCACAAGAAAAAAGAAAAAGAAAAAAGAAAAAGAAAAAAGAGAGTTGGAAATTACACCATCATCCTTGAAACAATGCAAAGCCCGAAGTTAACATAACATACTAGCCCAGCAATGAATTGGGCTTTGCATGAGATAAAGAAAGAACACAGGGACTACCTTATATATTTGCCAAGTCTTTATAGGCTTAAAAAGCTTACAGAAAACAAGGTATAAAATAAAGGAAATAGTTTTCTTATTTTACATGAAATTTTTTTCTCATTCTACACATACAATACATGAGTGGATCCCATCTTGATTTTTTTGTCTTCTCACTTTTTTGTGATCCTCACTCATGTATTGTGTATGTGTAAAATGAGAAAATTAATCCCCACAAAATAAAAATAACAATCTTTGGGACCCTTTCTACGTTAAGATGCATAAATTCCATATAGCTATTAAAATATATGGATCCATATACATGTACAAAATCAAAGAACATGATCTAAATATAATAGAAACCTCTCCTACGAGTTCGACCTGCTCTTTTATTTGGAGGAGCAGGGGCTTCATCACCTCCAGGAAATTCCCACCTAACAATGTCACCATCCCATGCTGAAGTGATCATCATTGGATAGTAAGGATGCCAACTACAATCTCGAACAGGTGCCTCATGATGTTCAAGTTTTGCAACTTGAGCTCCACTCACCTACAAAGAATGTTCAACTTAGGCACTGATGTTATATGTTAAAGAAGAAAAGGTTCATCCAAAAATGCAGTAACTGTTAATAAAGTATCTAAGCAATTTTTTTTACCAGGTCATATATGTAAACGCGGGAATCACTGGACCCGGTATAAATGTACTTTTGACCAGTGCTGCAACAAGAAACACACGATATATCATTCACATTCTTCAAAATTCAAAGAGAACGTGGAACATTATCACAACAAAACCAAGACTGAAATTTTGTTACACACAGATGTATTCTAATCAACTAATAATATAAATTTAAGTTTGCAACAATATAACCTAGACTGGAAGTAGAGAGGGTATTTTTCATCCAGATTTCTAAATGCGTATAGGGGTTTGGAGCTAACTTCTCAAAAAATGACACAAGCCGGAAAAATCAAATAGATTCTTCCATGAAAAATATAAATATATCCTTTCAGCAACATTTAGTGCCAAGTCCTAACTCCAGAGGAAACTTGTTCTAGTCATTCAAATCTGGCTTTTATAATCTAATGGCACAATAAGATGTAAAAATATTAAAATAATTGATGATAATTGTCATGCAACCAACTATTCTAAGAGCTTAATATGTTAGGTGAAGGCAGATGAATGGTTATATATTCTATATTATATTTCTAATATGTCCCCTCACACAAGAGCCCATTGGACTTGAAGGGTGAATAATGCATATGTTCACCTATTTGTACTAAGAAATTTCATAATATTTATTAAAATATTATTACATAAGTGGGGGATGTCAAAGATCCAACTCTGAACCATTTGGTCACAAAAGCTCTAATAACATGTTAAGCAACCAATTATTCTAAAAGCTTAATCTGTTAGGTGAAGGCAGATGAATAGCTATATACATTATATTATATTTCTAAACAATAATTAAACACACTAACATCCTAGCCATTCAGCAAAACATACTCAAGTCACTGTGAGCTAACAGATATGGAATTGGTTCATTATTGTAAAATATATAGCCATTTGATTTCAAAAGAAATACAAAATATCAAAAGCAATTCAATATCCAAATATTTTGGATAAATTAGAATCTTATATCATGTTAAATAACAGAGTTATATCAGAGTCAGAAAGTTCCAAAAGTGCAAGTTACCTATATGATGGCGAGAAATAACAGCGAACTAGAGTACGCAACACTGAGTGGCCTTTATATGTTGTCAATGACTGGTCATGGGGATGCTTCAAATTTCTGGCATATTCAGGGTAGTCCATCCACCGGTAGTCCCACTCCTCATCTCCAAGGCCCAAACTGTTGGTTTAAGTTATAAGCATCATCATTAAATATACATCACAGGTTAGGAGGAAAATATAGAATTGAAGTCACTTTTAGTCATTTTCATTGGACTTAAGTGTCTCTTCAACATAAAATACCAACCCCGGATCAAAATTCATTATGATGAGCAGTGAGTCCTTGCACACACACACACATTCATGTGGACGAGGAGTTATGCTTTACAATTGTTAAAAAACATGATGAATAACCAAACAATAAATTAGAGCTCTTGAAAGACAAAGTACCATCTATACAGCATCAGTAAACTACACTCAGTAACACAATTCTCAGTTCAATTAATTATTCACATTTGACTACCAAAATCAACATTTACAAGGGGTTAGAAATTGAATCAATCAGACTAACTGTAACTTCCAAACTCAACTAATACTTCATGGCTTTGTAGAATTTATTTTTCAAATTAATATTAGAGCTACCTTTCTTCTTGGGTAAACTATTAGAGCTACTATCGATTGCCAACAAAGAGGCCTTATAGTAACTGAGTTCTCAGTTAAAGATCATATTGCATTCAAATAATATTGGCCTGAGGTTATTTTTTTTCCCAATTCTTGTGTATGTATTATTTCTGTCCTCTACTTCTTTCTCTCTGAAATTCCAAGTCTACCACAAAAATAGCATTTCAAGTAGGTTGTAGAGAGAAACTATGAAATTCACTAGCATAACTCTATCTACATAACAAAATGAGAGATAAAACAGTTTTACTTTATGGCATTAGAAGACATCTTCCTTATGTCCCATAATTTGGTAGTTTGATCTTTTCCATTAGAAATTAAATAACGGCCATCTCCACGGCTATCAATGAATGTAATGCCTTCTAGATGTCCCATTAAGATACCAGCTGGTTTTCCTTTTGTGACAAAGCAACGCCTATCCCACACCTGCAAAAAGTCATAACAGCTAAGATTTCCTTCGCTGAGTAATTGCAAACAGAAAAACCAAAGCAATGTTATTGGAAATAAAAGGTTTGAAAATTATTAAGAGTGTCGATGATTTTAGAGCTAATTTTAAATCTTAAGCTCATTTAGTCATGAGCCAGGTCCAAGCTTCAAAGAACATTGCTCTTGGGCTTGCACCTTGTGAGCTGTTCTGCAACTGCACTCTAAATATATAGTTATTATATTATTATATATATGCCATATTTAACAAAATACTGAGTATTTTATAAGAGCTTGTTGCGAAGCTTTCAGCATAGGCAAAACATATTAAAGCCTTATAAAGCTTAGTTCATTGAGTTACAATATTTCAGCAATACTTTTATCAATGCAAGCAAGTCTAAACAACCTGACAGCTTCAAATCAACATTGCATGACTCCAATCAACAGTAAACACTTGTTTTGTCCAACTATTGGGCTCTTGATATTGCCAAACTTTCTCTTCTCTTCAGCAAAGTGGCTAATCCATTAATCCAAAACTCAGCAGTTACCACATTAAAAATTAGGAAACAGTTCATTTTTTGCCAATTAAATAATATCACTAGTAATAAATAGGCTAATAGTCACATCTAAACTAACTTCACAAGCAATATAGGAAAGCTATAGGAAGTCTTAAGATTTTTTTCACAAAATCATCTAAACCAAAACTTCCAAGTGTTTGATGAATACTCTTACAAGCATGAAGGCATTAAATTTTTTTACTGCACTTTGAAGAATAACCTCAAGAATCTAAAACCTGCCCCCCACAACCAAAAAAGGGTAACTATTGAAGATACTCAAGAAGTTTAGGACCTAATTGAGCCAAGACAATGTAAACGAGCTTGCACCAATGTATTGTAAAGAAAAAACAAATCAAGAAATAAGCTTAATCTCGAAGAACACCAATATGCTGGTTTTGTTTTACACTTTGGGGAAAGTCAATTTATTTTAAAATAGAAAAGGTCCTTCCCAAAATTAAATTGTTTTCAGAAACCCTATTTTAAAAAAAAAAAAACATTTTTAAACCACAATGCCAAACACTTATATAAAAAGAAAAATAAAATTCCAGTATCTCATCAAGTATATGAATTAAAACAATATTTCAGAGTAAAATTTAGTCTACGTTTTTAGATAGAGCTTCCTTCCTTCATAACAAGCTACTCCTCATACATATGCAATTCTTTCCAATTAAGAAAACAAACTTGGTTTACCTAAAGGATGAAACAAATGAAAACTATATCCTTAGCTCTACAAGAGGCTGCTAAGCTAATTGCACAGCCATCAACCAACCCAAGAGATCAAATTGCACCAACTAACCCTCACAGCATAACAGACAAATGACTCTAAACCTATGGTAAGTATAAACATAACTCACCAATAATGGAATAATAAAATGCATAAAATGAAAACATCACGGCCAACACAGACATCTGTGGATATTAACAAATTCCTATAACTAAAATATGAAGTCTACCTTGCAGAAACTATCATCACTTCCAGAATATATGAGATGGCCAGATTCATCAGCAAAGCAGACAGTGTTAACATCAGACTGCAGCATAAAAAAAGGCACATCAGATATGGTCCATCTTCCACAATGGCATACAAAACTCCACCTTAAGTCACCATATGCCACTTTAAAGTGATGAACAAAATGATTAACAATTTCTATACAAATCATTTCTACAAGGATGAAGGAACTGAGAAATTATTCTTAGGCTCAAAATTTGGCTGCCTTAAGGTCTATGCTTCCCCAAAACCTCAAACTGCTCCCAAAATGAATCAAAAGACTCAATTTTTTTAGCAGAGTCAGGTCAATAATCCTAAATTGAGTTTGAGTTACTATTATGGTTTTAAGCAGTCAGCCAGCTTTCAATTAGCATGTAAATACATTTGAAAATTTATTTGAATTATTCAAAATTAGCAACTAATTATAGCAAAAGAATATATACTACCAGGTGAGCAGGAATTCTAAGGCTAAGCTTATCTGCTCCAAGATCATATACACATATCGAACTATCACTAGTTGCAGCCACAAGCTCTTGCCCATCTGTTGAAAATTTGATCGAGAAAATCCCAAATTCATCATCATCATTATCAGAAGAAAAATTTAATCCATAATGAATTTCCTGCAATAAAAAAAGGGTTCCTGAATGTAAAGCAAACAATTATTTAATGTATGTATACACACACAGACACATACTTACATACATTATATCACCAAATATTTTAGGTTAGATGTATAAAGAACAAAAAGAAATCTACTGTATGCTACTTGATAACAACAACAAATAAAAAGGTTGCCTGTATCTTTAGCAAAGAACATTACGAATATTCCCATTCTATATGTGAGGTTGGACAGACCTCATCTAGTGACCTACAATTCAATAGTAGTAGGAGCATTTCCATGAAAAAATAAAAAGCATTTCATTAATTTACAGATTCAAATTATGCAAAATAAGTAGCCAACCTTTGTACTAGCCACTAGTAGATCTCATAAGAAAAATTCAGAGTGCAGAGCAAAGAATATAAGTATCACACCATTAGGGAAAAAAGCTTTCAATGTAACATCTGCTTACTCCTCTATAATATTACAAAAAGCTATGAAACTATATTTCACTGGCCAGTAAGAAAAAAAAGTGGGGAATTTTCAGCACATACTGTAACATTTGCAACTGACTGTGTTGTAGCAGATCCCACATTGACAATATGGACAATTGGTGACATACTAGCATAAACCTGCAATAACTCATAACAATTTGTCAAATGCAAGTTGTGAGAAGTTATAAGAAACAAAGTTGTAAAGGATAGCTCAAACTTCTATTAGATTCACAAGCCATGGTCAGCATTGGTCATTTATAACAGGAAATTCATCAACCTAGTAATGTCCATGAATGCCACCTCATTCGGAAATCAACTGAAACTTACAAGATAGTGTCGATCCGGTGAGAGAGATGTATCAGTAATTGTCCACCGCAAGTTTCTAGCAGAGATGTCCTTCATAACTTTCCAGCCCTTGTCAACATCATAGACCCTTATGTGGCTTCCCTGTTTTATAACTAAAAGTGAAGATTCAAAGACCCATTTGTCCCATAATTATAGTTCCACATGTCTAAGACTTCAATTTAACAGAATCATTTTCAGCTTCATACATAATTTACATACAACAGAAACTACAATCATAATAATAACAATATTAATAACCTGGAATCCAGCAATAAAAAGAGAACCATCAGCTGAAAATTGTGAAACATAGGCACGGCTTTTCATCTGATCAACAATCCAGGGACCTTTGGTAGGCAAATATCGGCTTAACAAATGACATCCATCTGCTGTGGAAAATCTCCCTCGTCCAGAATAATTACCTTCTCTTCCCACTAACATTCTTACAGTTGATGCAGGTAACCTTGTCCTACCAGGACCAACACGAACCAAAAGCTCATGGGGACTTGACCTAAGTTTTGTGAGCTGTGCAATTTCATGATCAAGGCAACTTGTCCCTTCTCCAGCTATCCCACTTGCATGAGATTCATTATTGGCACTACCATCACTACAGGTTATTGTATCTTTGTTCGACCGACTCATAATTTATTCTCTGCTTATCACTCTTTCTATATCCTGCAAACAGCATCAAGTCTAAGAAACCCTGATGAGCCAGAGGAAATCTTACTCACAAGCACACAAGAATATACAGAGAATATTATCATTTTGACTTATTTCAAACCGAAAATTACCATCTATACTAGCATTCAGTGCAGATAGATAACCCGTTTTAGTCTAACACTCTGAAGAAGTTAGCCAAATGAAATAAGGTAAAAACAGATGATGCTCAGAACCAAAATCTCTTTCAAGTTTAGCCCTTTTTGATTGATGTAACAAAAGGGCCAGTAAGAAAATGAAGAAAACGAATTAATTCAATAAAAAGAAACGAACTTTAGTCCAATTCTGAGAATTAAAAGGAAAATGAATAGCTGGGTACCAAATGAAACTCAATTCAGCATAAATGCGGCTTATCAAAGAGTTGAAGTAAAATTTAAAAACAAATAAATAAATAAAAGGAGTATAGATGATTGAGAAATGAAGATTGATGGTCACCTCCGATTGGAATATAAAGTTGTGGGGATCAAACCACACGAATCTTGATTCACTTGCTTGTGCTTTCGCCTACACACTATGTATTTATGTATGTATCTATGTATGTGTTGTGTATGAGAGTATGTGTTGTGTGTGATGAAATCGGAATGAATGAATATTGAATACTGAAAACTGGAATTGTCAAAGCCAAACCTTTGCCTTTGCTTGGTTTCTTCTCAATTTGCATTTACAAACACATGTTCCTCTTTATCAGGTGTTACATCCTAGGAGTAGGAGGCAACGTCAAACTCGACTTAAATTATATTGAATAATTTATGTTTCTCCATCAGCTTATTATTATTATTATTATTATTATTATTATTATTTTCTCTTAAAAAAAGACACAAAAGAAGATGGGTACAAATATTCTACATCAATATTTGATAGAGGAGAAATTTTTTTTATCCGGGAATCTCGATTTTTAGAAATATGAATTTTACATTCAATTTATGATAATATTCAAAAATTAAAAATTTAAAAAAATTCAGTTTCCCGAGAATGCTAAAGAATATCACGTGCCAAACACCCCGAAAATAGGAGTTAATATTTTCCCTGCAAACATGTAAATAGGAGAAAAGTGGGTGAATTTCACTTTTTCTCTATATTAATCCCTTGTTAAAATGATAAAATAAAAGCTGTTTTAAAATATCATTACTGAGAAAAAAAATTTAAAAAAAAAATTATACTCATTAAAATGTTAGTAATATTAATTATAAGGTTTTTTAAAATATCATTACTGAGATTTTCATGTTCTACGTCTAGAATTATTTATATTTTTAGAAGAAGTGAATAGAATTGATTATTTTTTGTACAAATGAAAATTTTGATTTAGAAAAAAAAAATAAAACTCGTTATTTTGGCTTATTTACAATTCATATTAGGTTATTGTCTAAAACTACGCTAAGTTTAAATTAAATATATAGAAAAATGTATGCATGATAGGAGTGTTCATAAACCGATCCAAACCGATTTAAACCGCAAAAACCGAACCGAAAACCGAAATAACCGAAAACCGAAAAATCGAAAACCGAAAAAAATTACTGGATTGGATCGGTTTTCGGTTTTGATGTTGAAAACCGATCCAATCCAAACCGATCCAAACTTTTTTTTACCAAATTATACCTATTACCTATCCCAAATAATAGCCGGCCCAAAGTTTTAAACCCACTCGTGCGTTAGCCCATCAGTTTTAAACCCACCCAAAGTTCTAAACCTAATCCATCCAAACTCACTCTTGTCGTCCTCTTAGTCTCTCACTCTTCTCAGTCACTCACGCTCTGGCACCAGTAGCATATCTCTTTCTTCTCCAAAATCAACGTTTGTCTCTTCCGTTAAACAGCCAAATAAACATATAACAAAGGTACTATAACACTTGATTTTATTTGCATCAAGGGCATGATAAAGGTATAGCAAAGCAGATTTCTAAATTTCTTCTCGTTATTCGTGTGATGAAGCAATAATATTTTCCTTCATTTTTTGTTGGTTTCAAACAATCGCCTTTTATTTTGTGTGGCTGTGACATAACGTTTTTAAGATCTCTCGCGTTCTCTGCAGTTCTTCTGCTTCTAATCCATGTGAACCAATTCTGATAACCGTTTCACATAATCTTTGATTTTGTGTGGCTGTGACATAATCTTTGAGTCTTTAACTGATGTACAAGACATGTGAACCAATTCTGATAACTGTTTGAATTTTGAAATGTTTTGAAACATCGTCACTTTTTTAAAAATAATTCTTTTAAGTTTTATTTTTTTGGCTTTTCAAAAAACCGAAAACTGATCCAATCCAAACCGAAAAAAATTGGATCGGATTGGATCGGATTTGAAAAAAAATTCAAACCGATCGGATGATGTAATGACCAAACCGAAGGAATTGGATCGGATGGTTTTTTGTTTTAAAACCGATCCAATCCAGACCGCGAACACCCCTAATGCATGATAGGTTATAGACTTCTTTGAAAAAAATAAAATAAAAGTTGCTTATTATTTATTAACATTCGGCAGTCTATTCTACAAAATAAAAGTAACAAATAATAATAATGAAAAATTCGGCAGTGCTAATGTGAAAGCAACTCCGGTACGTTCAGAAAAGTCTGCTGGGTGACTCCATCATATAGCAACAACTACTACAAAGTAATCGACTTGTATACAACAATTTATCATGTTTATTATTAATATACCTTTCACATGGAAATAAATATAGAGTTTAATGTTTATGTTTTTTATATAGAAAAAGCTTGTCTGCTATACTCATTTTTATGTGGATCTCACTAATATTTTTTTTTTTATAATGGAATTTTTTTATATACTGAACTTCAAATAAGAAAATTGGAAAACTCAATTGAACGATTTATTACTTTTAGTGTTATTGTGTTTCATCACTTCAATGTAAGTACAAAGATAATCGGGCATTAGCATTTTGTCCTACCTACTACCCGTGTGTATTCTGGATTTCCCCTAATTTAATTTCGTTATGGAAATTAAATGTGATCATCTCTCACAAGAAAATAATAAAGGACTTACTTAATAAACTATTGGTGATGAATTAACGCAATAATTATCATCCATTAAAAAAAAAGCAAATTAATGATGAATTTTTTTGGTTAGTTCTTAAATTTAAGTTTTCATGTCAAGAAATATACCCTAATTATCACGTATTGATAGTTTAAACTAAGGGATTTGCATTTGTCATTTAACATGACATAACAAACTTTCCTACACACACAACATTTTGTGGGACTCACACTTTTTGAAGAAAAAAGAAATTACGGCACGCAAAACGAATTTCTATAACATTACACAATTACTTTTCCTACCACATAACTCTTATAAAACCCTTAAACTAAATAACCAAGGGTTCGCTTTTTCTGCAGTAAGCCCAATACGACGTCATTTTAGAGCGGAAATCATGGTGTTTTTGTAATTTTAATTTATTTCAGGGTTATAATAGTTTTTTATTTATAATTTTTTAAAATTTCAATACAAAAATAACGTTATTTTGGGAATAAATGCAAATAACTCATCTGCATTAACTGCATAAATATTTTTCCCAATAACCAAATAATAAACCCATTAAGAAAAAAAGAAGCAAAAATCAAAAAGACACAGGCACAGTGAAATGGCAGAATATGAAAGTTTTCTTATTAATAAGCTAATAATATATGATTATTGAACACCAAAAAAGAATATTGTAATGAATAAATATTAAATATTTTTCCCAATAACCAAATAATAAACCCATTAAGAAAAAAAGAAGCAAAAATCAAAAAGACACAGGCACAGTGAAATGGCAGAATATGAAAGTTTTCTTATTAATAAGCTAATAATATATGATTATTGAACACCAAAAAAGAATATTGTAATGAATAAATATTAAATACTCAATATTGATTACATCAATGCAACTCAACTGTAACTCTCATATACCCTGCATGTAGTAACAATTGGACAGGATCCTGCAGTGCTTTTTGGCTTGAGCTCATACCATCTAATAGATCAAAATAGTGGATCCCATGATATCCATTAGGAGAGAGACAAGGATCAGAATGTATCCATCTAATTTTATTTTTTTGCTCTTTTAATTTCTCTCTTTTAACTAATGCAGGCCTGGATTTCTTCCAATGTTTTTCCTTTGGTTTCTGGGACTAATTTTGCTACAAATAGAATAGTTAAGAGGGAACATCCAGCATACAAAAATAAAGTACCTGTCCAAAAAAAAAATTAAAAAAAAATGTTACTAATTATATTCAGATGGACATGTAAGAATGCTAATTGTGCTTCAATTCTGTGCTTACCAGGAGAACTCCAGCTCATTAGAAAATTGAAAGTATATGAAACTACCCAAGCTCCTAGCCAATTGATCAAAACCACCAAGCTTCCAGCAATTCCCTTCACATGTATGGGAAAGATCTGCAATATGAAAACTAACTATTAAACATACATTTCTCTTGTTTTCCTACCATCAATGCTTTAGGAGGAACTGTAGTAGCTACATTTAGCAATCTTTTGATTCTTTATGTTTTTTAATTGGTAAACAAAAGCTTGACATGTTTCATCTCTTAAAAAAGAAAAAGAACTTCTTTGAAATATATATATTGATATCTACCATTTCAATTTTGACTAGCTTTTTGTAATGATATGTTAACAAGAGCCTAGCTTATACCATTACAAATTTTGGTTTCAAATGATACATACCTCAGACATTATCACCCAAGGAACTGGTCCCATCCCAATTGAAAATGCTGCTATATAGATCTGATTACAAGTAGGGTAAAAAAGATGAGAGAATTTCAGGTCAAACTTAAATTTGAGCTTAAGGATTGTATAGTTACCTTATCAACTATCCTAATAACTTAAAAAAAAGATCAAAAGTTGCAGAAGAAAACTCACCAACACGCCAGCAAATGCTAATGTCGGTACCCATTCAGGCAATAAGCTTTGATCCTGAGCCATGGAGTCATGAAGATGAATTTTAGAGACACAAAAACACACTCACTATCTGTGGTGAAAATATAATACATTTATCATAAAGACTTGCCTTGAGAAAGAAAGCAATTCCAGTAATAAAACAGCCTAAGAATGTCCCACTTGCGGAAACCTGCATATATATAAGAACTTTTGTTAAGCATCAAAGTTCTTATTCCTCTTACTTTTAGATGGGGTTGATAAATAAGTGCTTGCAAGTATATTTACCGTTATAAGAGGTCTTCTTCCTGACTTATCCATCAAAATGGCTCCCAATAAGGTAAATGGAACCTGTAATTCATGATAATAAATTGTAAAGCAATCAATTCAACCCAAAAGTTTAAACTATTACGTGAAGGTCATACGAATGAGATTGAACTCGTGACTATAAGTGATTGTTTTACATAGTATCAGGGCATCGAGATAGTCTATCACGGAGACCCTAATATCATGTAAAACAACCAATTCAATTTAAAAGTTTAAGCTATCATGTGAAGGTCATATTGATACTTTTATATTATATTTCTCTAAGTCAGATGAAGTTCAGACAGAAGAATGTAAAATCAGTAGAGGGATCAACTACCTGCATGCAAGCATAGGCTATGGTACCTGCTTTTCCTGAAGAAAATCCTGCAAATCAAGTTATATAGAGGAATTAATATAACAGAAGAAACAGATTTCTTCTGATTTTTTCAAAATCAGCATGTATTTTTTCTCACTTACCGGCTGCTACAAAAGTCTCGGCTGTATAGAATCCTATACCATTAATTCCAACAGATTGTTGACACACCATTAACCCAACACCAATCTGAAATTGTTACAAATAGTTAAGATCCTTTGAGTAATTACATACACTGTTATTAAACTTCTGCATGAAAAATATGTTACTTACAACTACAGAGCGCACATGTTTGCTTTGAAACAAATCCAACAGTTTAGTCTTAGGAAGGCTTTGAAGAGTGTCAATATAATCCTATGGCAAAAAATAAGTCACCTCAGATCATCAAACACGTCGAATTTTTAGGAATTGTTTTGAAGGTTTTCAATCGGTTAAGAGAGCTTGGAAAGTACCAGAATTTCATCAGCTTCATGAGAAATATCAACATCTTTACCCCGAAGTCTCCTTAAAGCTACTTGAAATTCTTTTTCACGGCCAACCTTTGCCTAAAACATATTGTGTAGTGTATTAACTTCCATTGCCATCTTTTTTTATGCTTATCTTGAAGAAGAAAAAAAAGGAGTACTTTGGTCTTTAGATTCTATAGCTTAATGCTTACCAGCCATCTTGGAGACTCAGGGATAAAGCACAAACCAATCAACAAGCAAATGCAAGGCACTAGCCCTTCAAAGTTCAAGCCAAGCAAACAGTAATTAGACATTTTTCTCCATAATTTTTCTACACCTTAGGCAACAATTCAAAATTAATGTTATCACTTACCTGCTAGTGCCAATTCTCTCCAACTTATGACACTTCCCATTAAGAATGAGACTGATGCTCCAATAACAATCATAAGCTGCAAATCAATCGGAGTCAATGCCAAATTCAACTCAATGATACTCAACTTTTAATCAAAGAACAAAAATACAATAATTCTTAATATTCCCTCACCTGATTTGTTGTTCCAAGTCCTCCTCGAAGATTTTTGGGTGCTACTTCTGCTATATATACTGGAACCTGTTCCATTTTGCTAATTTTTATTAGAAATATTATATAGTGATGATGCCACATGTAAATATAACCAAGTTAGTTAAACGGCATGCGCTTAAACTTTCTGAACGAAAAAATAAACAAAAGTTTCATGGTTATCAATTAGTTACCACGTATGAGATAACTCCAATTCCATATCCTGTGCAAAATCTTCCTGAGTCAAGTGAGTAAGAACTCTGCAGTATAGATAGAATAACATAAGTGAACCTGTTTTTTATTTTGGCACAACTTTTCTTATGCATCTTATGCATACCTTAGAGAAGAAGACAGCTAACCATCCCGTAATGCAAAATCCTGTTGAAATTCTCATTGCCTATTTCCCATGAAAACAAAGGCTTAGTAAGTAACATAGAAAGAACATACATGGTTAAGAATATTTTTATTGTGCATTTGGATTTCACATACCCCTTTCCGGCCAATGAAATCTGTAATCCTGCCACTTGTTATAGCCCCAAGCATTGCACCAATGGTCACTAATGAACCAAACATGGAAAACTGCCAATCCCCAAAATTATTAGCAAAAAAAAAAAAAAAGTATATATAGATCATTAGAGAGAATATGATATAAATGTCAATGAGGAGGGAAAACTAGAATACTAACCTCAGCAAGAGATAGATTAAGATCTGCCCTTATAGCCGCTTGAGTGGGCGCTGAATAACCCACCTGCCAAAATAATAACTTAAGCTAAGCAACCTTTTTTTTCTGTTTATTTGGTATCATATTTGGTCTTGTTCCAACCCCAGAAAACAGACACACAAAAAGAAGCAGACATTTAGTGAACTGTATTTTCAGAATGTTCCTTTCTTAAGCCATAGCCCACTTTATTTTTTATTTTTTCACTTTACATAGAGATAGAAGACAATGTGACTGTGCCAATTATATTATTCAGAAAGCTTTAAGATACTTACACAAGTTCCAAAAGAAAAAGAACCACAAACAGCAACCAGTGTGCTAAGCAGAACCATTCCAATGGATCCATTTTCTACACTTTTATCTGATCCAACTTCCTTTCGTGGAGCAGCCGTAGCCTCCCCTTGTCGCATAAAGGGTTCTTGCAAATACTGAAGTCCAATGGCTTCTCCACTCTCAACATCCTTGTTCTGTTCAATTGTCATTTTCTTCAATAACAATAGCAATATGACCTCAAAAAAACAATGACACAATAGCAACCCCAGAAGTTATTAAGAGCAATGTAGTGAAACAGAACATGCAAAAGCATGCTGTGTCGTATGGTATTTATACTGCATGTACCAAAGAAGCATTTTGGGTTGGTGTTTCCAATGTTGTCCTGGTACTGTTCATAGGGACATAGAGTGAAAGGGTATGACAAGGGTGTCAATTGTCAAATTAGACATTTGCAAGGACAAGTGGGAATATTGAAGCTGTCACTGATGTGGATTACAACATGCCAATCCAGACCAGACCCTTTCCTTTGAAGAATGGATTGCAAGTTCCTAGTTGTTGGTTTATTTGGTAAACAATTTGCAAGTGGATCTTGGTGAATGCATGATTTCCATTGTTTATTCATCTCAGCTTACGTGGTTCTTACTCGGATGGGACATCCTCAAGCTATATATATATATATATATAAGTTTAATTTTTCTCATGTTGCAAGAGACACTGCAACACACAAAAAAGAGTGAGTGAGACCCACTAAAAATGAAAGAGAAAAAGAAAAAAAAATGAATCACATTCACTTTTGTGTGTGTTGTATGAGATAATTATCTCATGCAACATGATCTTATGCAACACATGAAAAACACATTTCCCTATATATATATATATATATATATAGGATTTTATTAATCTCTTGTTAAAGGTGATAAGTTATCTCATGTCATAGAGACAAATTTGTAGGCTCCACCATCTGAAAAAAAAAAAAAAAAGTGGCACAGTTATCGAAGAGTGTGTAAGAGAGAAAGTTATCACATAACATAAGAGTAATTTTTCTTATATATATATATATATATATATATATATATATATGGGGAAAGTACTTCTTATGTGACTGCAGAAGGGAAAAAGTGCAGCAACACAGGATACGCGTCCGAATCCTGGTTTTTTTTTTTTTTGACAGAATCGCACGTGTATCCTAGGATCCGCACGTGTATCCTAGTGTTAAAAATTTGCTGCAACTTTTCTCATCAGCAGTCACATGAGAAGCGACGGACCCTATATATATATATATATATATCAATTTAATGTGCTTGCCATACTAGGCGGCAAGTTAACTTGGAATTCAAACCATGGTTTGGAGTTTACAATGATTAAGCAAATGCATGGAAATACGCGCCATTCATGCAACTGATGGTAGACGATAAAATTTGTGGCAGCATTTTAGTTTAATGAGACTAAACGAGGGAGGGGCTTAGAGCCTAGAGGGCGATCACCTCTTTTTTAAGTTTATACATACTTTTAGAATTGAGCATTATTATTTCAGATTTTTTTTTGTCATATATTTAAAACTTATCCCCCTACAAATGTATAATTTTTATTTTTCTGTCATATAAATAGTTGTAAAGTGCATTGTAATTTCGCTCCCTTTTGAAAAAAATTCTGGCTCTACCGTTAATGACTATGTTATTCAACATTGGATGTTCATTATTAGAAATCCTTGATAAGAGTAATATTTTTTTTTTTTTGGTACACATATTAGTATGCACATTTGTGTCAGCTCTTGAAATTTTGTACCGTAAAGCTTAGTTTCAATGAGTGCCTAACAAATTTAAATCACTTTGATTAAATTCTTTTATACAATACAATTAATGTGTATAAAATAGTATAAGAATAATATATAGTCTTAATTTTTAGAAGATTTGTATTTTTTTTTTATAACTCAGATTATTAGAATTTTGTTGTTAATTAAATATGACAATGCATTAAATTCAAAATATCATTTGCATGTTTTGCATGTGGAAAGTATGGTCATTCAACTGAGTATTGTCCATCCAAACGAGCTCTTGACCTGGCTATGCCTTCTCCTAATGTGAATAAGATGGAAGTTCAACAGAATGAAAGTGAAAATATGCCCAAATCTCATGAAGGAGAATCAAAGTTTGGACCGCGGATGGTGGTCACCAAAGCCCGAAGAGGTCGTAAACAAGTTACTAATAATGGTACTAGTAGCAAAAATAATGGTATTCTGCAAACAAATGGTTATAATTCAAGGGAGCCCGTGGATAATGTAGTGTTATTGGCAGCGTATAAAGGGGTTTGGCTGATAAAGCTAGTCACTCTGGAGTTATAAAAGATGATGGAATGAATATGAAAGATCAAATGAGTGGGTTTGGTGGGAGATAAGATCAGCCTTTAGACCAAAGCCAAAATGGTGTTAAGTCTGGTTTAATCTCCAGGGAGGGTAGTAATCCTCCTGATCCAAAACCTCCAGATCCATATCAGCATCAAGAGAACCTGAGTGGTCATCAAAGGATGATGATAGATCTGATTGCGGTTGAAAAGAGAAAATATGATCAGATGATGACAGATGTAAATACTTCAGGAATGGAGAATGCTGAGAAGAATCATTATGAAGGTATTGCTAAGCAGCAGGTGCTTGGAAAACCTGCAATTTCCCATTATAGTTAGTTATGTCTCTAATCTTCTGGAATTGTAGAGGAGCAGCCAAAGAGAGTTTGGCCCGCAACCTCAGAAATCTTGAAGATTGATATAAGGTATCAGTTTTAGTTCTTTTGGAAACTTGTACAAATAGCGATAAGTGCAAGAAACTTGTTAGAGATCATGCTTTAGAAACTGCAATTTGATATTTTTAATTATTTAGGAGTCAGTTTTCATTATGTTTTAATGAGTTGTTATGTAGTGGGCAGTTTACTTTTTTGCTTTAATGGATAGTTATATAGTGAGCAGTTTTCTTTTCTACTTTGATGAGAAGTTATGTAGTAGTGAGCAGTTTCTTTTTATTATTTTGCTTTATAAGTCGTATTGTCACACATCAATAAAATGTACTTCATTTCTAAAACCAACAACTGGTATCAGAGCTATCTTCCTAAAGGGATCTGTGTGTCAATTTGAGGCGCCATGGAAACTGAAGCGAATCTTACGTCAATTGCTCCGCCAGTATTTGATGGAGAAAACTACCCAATTTGGGAGGTACGCATGGAGACGTACTTGGAGGCGTTGGATCTTTGGGAAGCAGTGGAAGAGGACTATGAAATTCTGCCTCTTCCAGCTAATCCCACCATGGCACAAATAAAAGTGCAGAAGGAGAAGAAAACTAAGAAGTCAAAAGCAAAAGCCTGTTTGTTCGCTGCAGTTTCACCCACTATTTTCACTCGTATCATGACTTTGAAGTCAGCAAAGGAGATATGGGATTATCTCAAGACTGAATACAAGGGAGATGAACGCATTCGAGGAATGCAGGTGCTGAATCTAGTTCGCGACTTCGAGATGCAGAAGATGAAGAATGATGAATCTATTAAGGAGTATTCTGAGAGGCTTCTTAGTATAGCAAGCCGGATCAGATTGCTGGGCTCTTCTTTTCTAGAGTCAAGAATTGTTGAAAAGATCCTTGTAACCGTTCCTGAAAAATTTGAGGCCACAATTACATCCTTAGAGAATACTAAGGATATGTCAAGCATCACTCTTGCTGAATTGTTGAATGCTTTGCAAGCACAAGAGCAAAGAAGAGCCATGAGGCAAGAAGGTGTCATTGAAGGAGCTCTACCTGCAAAATATCATGAAGCTGGTAAAAATAAGAAAGTGCAAGAAGGTAATTCTGGTTCTTTTTCTTCAAGTAGCAGGAATGGAAATTCCAAGGGGAAATATCCTCCTTGTCACCATTGTGGGAAGAAAGGTCACCCTCCTTTCAAATGTTGGAGGAGGCCAGATGCAAAATGCTCCAAATGCAGCCAATTTGGGCATGAGGCAGTGGTATGCAGAAATAAGAATCAAATGCAGGAGGCAGATGCTCAAGTTGTTGACGAAGAAGAGGAGGATCAACTGTTCGTAGCCACTTGTTTCTCCAGCAATGAATCTAGTGAGAGCTGGCTGATTGACAGTGGGTGTACAAACCACATGACTCATGATCGAAGTCTTTTCAAGGAGTTAAAACCCACACCAATCACAAAAGTCAGAATCGGTAATGGTGACCACATTTTGGTAAAGGGAATAGGAACTGTTTCTATCCTAACAAATTCAGGTACAAAGTCAATCTCAGATGTTCTTTTTGTACCTGATATTGATCAAAATTTGTTAAGTGTTGGACAGCTCATTGAAAAAGGATTCAAAGTGTTTTTCGAAGATAGAGTTTGTCTCATTCAAGATGCAAATGGAAAGGAAATCATCAAAGCAAAAATGAGAGGCAAGAGTTTCTCATTTGAACCAGTCAAGGAGGAGCAAGCTGCTGTTTCCACAGATGAGAATGTGACTGAGACTTGGCACAAGAGACTAGGCCATTGTCACCTCTCAAATATGTTGTTGATGAAGAAGAAGGAGTTGTCAAATGATTTACCAACCTTTGCAGATCATTTACCATATTGTAATGCCTGTCAATTTGGCAAACAAAAAAGAAATCCATTTCCCAAGTCAAGTTGGAGAGCCTCCAATAAGCTGCAGTTGATCCACTCAGATGTTGCTGGTCCTCAAAGAACTCAATCACTTGCAGATAGTCGTTACTATGTTATTTTCATAGATGATTTTAGCAGAATGTGTTGGATTTTTTTCATGAAGCATAAATCAGAAGTGGCTAGCCTGTTTTGGAAGTTCAAGAAAACGGTGGAGAACCAGAGTGGTTGTAGCATTCAATGCATTAGGACTGACAATGGAAAGGAGTATACTTCAGAACAATTTAATATTTTTTGTGAAGAATCTGGCATTGAACACCAACTCACTGCTCCATACACTCCGCAACAAAATGGAGTAAGTGAGCGAAGAAACAGGTACATAATGGAAATGACTCGATGTATGCTTCACGAAAAAGAGTTGCCAAAGAATTTCTGGGCTGAAGCAGCAAGCACTGCTGTCTTCTTGCAAAATAGGCTGCCTACAAAGGCATTGGAGGACAAAACTCCATTTGAGGCATGGTATGGCTATAAACCCTCACTCAATTTTCTTAGAGTGTTCGGTTGTATGTGTTTCTCTCATATTCCACAGGTAAAGC